TTCCCAAATCTTCAATCCTAATCAAAATTTCACTTGATCGTGACCCACATTGGTGTGGAAGGGGAAAGCGGCGGCCTGCGGCTTGGTGGACATTTCTGTACAAAACTGATGGAGGCAAAGGCCAATCAACTTCTGGGTTCTGTTGATCAGTGTCCTTGAAGTATAAAAAGTTTCAAGAGAGGGAAGCAAAGAAACCAGCTGCTGTAGAGGGAGACAGGAGGAATGCAAAAATGAAAGAAATTTGTAGGCTCTATGTTCAACGAATGTGCATTGAAGTTGAAAGTAAAGAAAGGTCCTGGGCCAAACTTGAATGTGCGTTGAAGAAGAAGAAGTCATGGGCCAAACTTGGATATTCCCAACATGGGCAGAATCTTTGTGTTTAAGCATATTTGGAAATCAAGACCAAGCCTAGTATCAAACTTACACCTATTTTGGATCAAGCATTAACCCAAATTTTTGGTACTTCTCTTTTCTTTTTAACTTAATTTTTAGTGTTATTTTATTTATTTATTTTATTCATTGAGTTTTTGTATTTATTTGATTAGATTAGAAGTTATTTAATTATTGGATCATAGAAATACAAAATATGATTTAATAAAATAAGTTGGTAAATTAGATTAAAATAATGTGTAATCCAATTATAAAAAAATGGCAATTAGAAAACAAGAGTAATTAATTTTCTAAAAATTTTCAAATGAGAATTTTATCTTGCAAAAATGGTGGCAAGGTTAAATAAATTTTAATAATGATAATTAATATTTATTTTTAAGAATAATAAAATATGAATAATGAATTTTAAAAATAATACAGTGAATCCAATGAAACTCTAAGAAATAAAAAATGGTTGATTCTTATATGAGAAATTTATCTCTAATTTTTGTTACAAAAGTCATAAAATTAGATAAAATTTCAATAATAATATTTTTAAGCACAATAAACAATAAAAATAGCAATGATAAAAAATAATCAAGATAAATCTTAGAAATAAAAAAGTAAAGTAAATTTTATTCTAGGAAATCAAGAATGGTTGATTTTCTTAAACATTTTTAGGTGAAAAATATTTTTAAACATTTCCTGGTGAAAATTTTATATATTTTTTAATAAAATAAAAAAATCAAAACAAAAATAAAAGAAACTTAAATAAATGATTAAATAAAAAACCAATCCGATGATGGAGACTCTTAAAAAAAAAAAAAAAAAATTTTGAATACTTTTGAGGTGAGAAAATATCAAAATATTTTAAAAATTCTGCTAGATCGATTGAGAAATTTTAAAAACTATTTTTAATATTTAAATATTAAAATTTAATAAAGATTATTAAGATCATAGATTCTTAGGATAATTTAAAATTAAATAATATCATTTTTTGGATGAGCATGTGGAAGTGTTATAACCTTCCTCATACCCGAACTTTATTCTGATAAGCAGATAAAAAGCTATTTTTTAATGATAGATTCACCTAGATAGTCAATCACACGAAGATTGATAGCAATTCCTAGAGTCATATTTAGCAATAAGTTTTTCTTTTATCGATAAATTTATGAATTTATACATTATAATAAAGAGAATCTTTTTCTTCAATTCAAATTCAATTTTTATGAAATATATTGCAAAAGCAAAACTTTAAATACATTGAACCGATGTGAAAAAATATATTTTTTAAGATCACAAAAAAAAAAAGTCCAAACAAAAATTTAAAATATCCTTGAAGATATTATAAAAAGACTCTTTTTTCTTATCTTTATTTGTGGCATATATTATAATTTTTATTGATAATAAAAAAAAGTCCAAACAAAAATTTAAAATATCCTTGAAGATATTATAAAAAGACTCTTTTTTCTTATCTTTATTTGTGGCATATATTATAATTTTTATTGATAATAAACATTTAAAGATCAAGATGCGTAAGTGAATTGAATTAGTAATATTATGACTTTACATGATAAATGTTTTAATTATATTGTCAATGAGACATCTCAACAATGAAAATTTAAGATTTTAATTTGAAATTTTGGATTCAAATGCTAAATTAAAAGGACAGAATTTATGAAAAAAATTATTTTTTTATTATGCAATCTAAAATCACATATATCAAAAAACGTTTTAACTCGTTGAAATAGTTTGGTAAATACCTCCTCTTGTAATAAAAATAAATTGATACTCTAGTTGGAAAATTTTTCAAAGAAATATGTTGCATGTATATATCATTTTACTAATAGTATTTATATATGTGTGTATATACGGCAAAAAGGTTAAAAAAATTTTGAATAAGAATTTAACAATCGTCCAAGTCTCTATTTTTTATTATAATTAATTAAATCTCTAAACATTTATTTTCACTAATTAAATCTTTATTAGAAAAAAATTGATTAACCATAAATATTTATTTTTGTTTAATCGATAATTCAATTAAAGTGAAAATGAATATCTAAAAATTCAATTGATCCAAAATAGAAAAAAATTAATCCAAAATAAAAAATTTAATGCTTGATTGATTATAATAAAATGTTGAAAATTAAATGATTATTCAATTTTTATTCATTTTTTTTTTACAATTTTATCTATTATACATATGCACACACATAAATGCATGCATGAGTCTATTTTTCATCAATGTTTTTTTTTGGATTTTCTTTTAAAATTTTCAGATAATTGGACTTTAAGAAGATGACTATTCATTGAATCTTACTCCTGTAAAGTGCAAAAAGAGTTTAATTGGGATATTTGATGACTTTGGTTGTTTGTCGGGAAAAAGAGAGAAAGTGGAATCTTTAGTATTTTTCCCACCAACCAAACAATAATTCAAAGGTTCAACACATCAAGTGCTAGGAAGTTTCTTCCAAGACCTCCAATTTTTCAACTTGAATTTTCCACAAGTAACATTTATATGTATGTTTAAAATTGAATAGAGTGTAGAAAAAAAAAAGAAAAAGAAAAACCAATTCAAGTCAACCAAATCTATAGAGTAAGTTCTACACGGCCAATTAAAGAGAGAAAAAATTGAAAAGTTTTAAAAAATTAAAATTACATAAAATTTAAAGAAGTTAAGATAATATTTGGTTTTAGAAAATAGAATTATTTTTATTTATATTTTTTGAAAATAAAAATATAAGTGAAAACATGTTGAATAATTAAAAATAAGAATAAATTTGAGTTAAAATATAAAAAAATTAATTATGAAAATAAAATTTTTTTTTTTTGTATTTTGTAAGTTATAATTTTGATATTTTTTCAATATCATTAATTAATAAATATATGTTATATTTATAATTAGATGCAACACCGAATATATAAAGTTAAAAAGAAAAACATTTTCCACCACATCAAGCGCAAGGAAGTTTCTTCTAAGACCTCCAATTTTTCATCTTGAATTTTCCACAAAAAGCATTTATATGTAAATTTAAAATTTCACAAAGTGTAGAAACAAGAACAAAAATGGACAAGTCAAATCATCCAAGTGTATGGAGTAAATTTCACAGCCAACTACTTAAGACTCCTTAAGTCTTAGAAAAGAGAAAAAAAAATAAAAATTTTTGAAAAATAAAATTAAAGAAGTTAAAGATAGTATTTGGTTTTAGAAAATAAAATAATTTTTATTTTTAACTTTTTAGAAAACAAAAAATATGAGTAAAAGTCTATTTGATAATTGAAAATAAAAACAAATTTTTTTTTAAAAAATATGTTAAAATATGAAAACAAAAATTTTTATTGCAAGTTGTATATAAATGTAGACTCGAAAATTATTTTTTATAATGAACTCGAAGTTTAATTCAATTAATTTAAAAAGATCGATATATGTTTGATAAGTAATTATTTTATGATAAATATAGACATAAAAATTACGTAAATGGATTTAAACTAATGTGATTATGCTTAACATATAATGAATGTATTAACATTAAACCAAAAAGAAAAAGGGACCATAAAAAGAGAATGAATTCCTATTAATAGTCAAAACATGAATTTGCTGGGAACTGAAAAAAAATAAAAAAAATCTTTGGAATAAGGTGAATGAACCTTGTTTTATAACCAAATTTAACTGGCATTTTGGTGTCTAATGACTTTGAAGCACCCCCAAAGCCAAAGCCTATAAATTTATTCTTTGGCAAGCATATGGATTAAAAAGTTGTTAAAGTAACCAACAAACCTATGAAATTATTGTCTTTAAAAAACTGAAATTGGGTTTGCTTGAATGCAAGATTTGATTGGAAAAGCATCTTTCTTTCAGATCTTTCCCAACATGAAACTGGGGATTTTGGAATTTGCTTTTATCCTTTCTATTTTTCAAAGATTCCTTTTTTTAGGTAAGTGAAATGAATATAATTTAATAATTTTGGATAAAATTTTAACAATATTTGATACAATTCTAATAATTTTTATATAATTTTGATTTTAAATATTTTAAATATAATTTATAACCAATGTTAGAAGTTTGATAATCATTTATAAATTTTTTTGTAACCTTTAATACAATTTAGGTAATTTTTTATATTATTATAGTAATTATTGATAAAATTTTGATAATTTTTTCAAAAAATTACAAATACAAAAAAAGTTACAATCATAATAACTATTACATTTATATATAAGAAGGGTTAATATTTGATACACTAATCGTGTATGAATTTTTATACTACTAGATAATAATATAATGACACATCATTAATGAATAAATCTAAAAGTAAATAGATCTTTAAAAATAAATATAAATAAATAACTAAATCAATCAACAAATCAAAACATAATTAGATAAATTTAATGTAAAATTAAACCAAATCTCATGTATGATGATACTTGAATCTAAAATATCAAAGTTCTAGAACTTTCTCTTTATTACCAACCCAAGTCCTCATTGGCTTAAAATTTTACTTTTGAACAACACATTAAAATCATAAATATGACTAGGATGACAAATATTTCAAATTAGAGGATTAATGATTTTACCCTCTTTAAAGGCACTTTTCACCCCATATTGAATAAAACTTGCATAGACATCTATAAGTGAGATAAATTAATATAAATATGGAATACCACATCCAAATCCAAATACATGGATCAAGTAAATAGCATGCAAATCAAGTTATTACATTACCAAACACACCAAAATGAGCTTCCAGTACAAATTACATACCAATAGTAGCCCAAAACACGTATAGCTTATCACCAATATGCTCCAGTTTTTTATAGTAAGCAAACCTCCAAGACCTGATGAAAAACAAGGGAGCCACTACTCCCCAAAACCCCATCACAAATCCAACCACTATGCTCACATAAAGCCAATTCACCTTAGACCTGTGCCTTCCTTCGCTGCTATCTCCATTTGTAATATCAGGTGTTTCGCCATTTCTGCTGCAATTTTTAGTGATTGGAGGTCCGCAAAGATGATTGCCAATATAAGAAAACTTGTCAAAGCTTTGGAGCTGGGTGCCTAATGGGATTTTTCCTGTCAAGTTGTTATATGACACGTTGAAGTGATTCAAAAAATTCAAATTGGAAAAACTTGAAGGGATTTCACCATGGAGTCGGTTCATCGACAAGTCAAGAGATTCCAAAACCTCCATATTGCCAATGTTCTCTGGTATCTGTCCTGTTAGGAGATTCCCTGACAAATTTAACGACCGCAGCTCGGTGAGATTACCAAGTTCTTTGGGGATCTCTCCTGTGAGACTGTTAACTGAAAGGTCTACGCCGGTAACAAGTCCTAGTGTGGTACTATATTCATCCTCTCTTCCTCTCATCACCAATAATGCATCTAAATTAACCCAGTTGTTAGGGTTGAATTCCCAGGGCACTTCAAACAAGAATCCGTTGAGGGTTTTTGTGGCCATGGCACTTAGGTTACTAAAACATTTTGGAATAGCTCCTGAAATGTTGTTATAACCAAGATCCAAGAACTGAAGAGAATTAAGAGCACAAATTTGATCAGGAATGGCTTGGAATTTATTTGAACGAAGGTTTAGAACCACAGGGTTGAAAAGCTTGTCTCCAATCCATGCTGGAATACTTCCCGTCAATTGATTTTCACTAAGATCAAGAATAAGCATATTATCTAAGTGTTGCAATGTTGATGGCACTTCTCCAAACAGTTTATTGGTACGAAGGTTTAATGACTTAATATAACGCAAAGATCCCAAGGATCTAGGAATTTTCCCAGTTAGATTGTTGTTTCCTAAATTTAAGACTTGCAACATTTGCCAATTTTCCCAACAATCTGGAATTTCACCTGACAGAAGATTTGATTCAATGTCAAGAATGGTCAAAGTTTCCAGTTTGGTTGAGGAATTACAAAGACTATTAGAAAGGGATCCTGAAAATAGATTCTTAGACAAAAATAAAAACTCCAAATTTGAAATTGGTCGTGGCAATGGACCTGTGAGTAGGTTGGACCTTAAGTCAACCGTCCCACTCTTCGGTAAATATGAAATCTCCCCAACTAGATGGTTATAGGAAAGGTTTAGATAATCAAATTGAGTCGAAAGGCTCCAAAACCAAGTGGGGATGGCACCTTAAATTTCAGCATGTGACATATCTAAACGAGACAAGTTCCTTTGGAATTGTAGCCACTGAGGAAATTGCGGACCAATATGCAAGTTACGCAATTGAATAATTTCACAGTGAAAAGGAGGAACCCAACTTGGATTTGGTTTAAACGTTAACATGTTGTTAGATGCCCAAAAAAATCTCAATCTCGTGAGATTAGAAAAGTGCATTTCTGATATATTTCCTTCCAGCATATTATTGCTAACGTCTAAATGTTCCAAATTCCCAAGTTGTCCTAAACTTTGAGGAAGAGTTGCATTCAATCGATTGTGTGAAACATCAAGAACTTTCAATGATGATAACTTCCCTATTGAGAATGGAATGGGACCAGAAATGGAGTTTCCAGAAAGGGAAAGGTATGCCAAATTTTTAAATTGGCCAAGTTGATCAGGTAAATAGCCAGAAATTTTGTTAGATGCAATATTTAATGATTCTAATCGATCCAAACTACATCTAGACAAACTGTCTATGATTTCTGATACTTCTTGATCAATTCCATTATTTGACAAATCCATCTCCCTCAGATTGCAAAGACTTTCCAAACATTTGGGTTCTATAATTTCAAGCTGGTTAACTGAAAGATAAAGATGAGTAAGAGAGCTCAAGTTTCCAATGGCACTTGGAAAATTACCTTGCAAGCTGACATGACGAAGATCAAGGAACTGAAGTTGGTTTAATTAGACAACCAGCTGAGTGTCGATGATGAAGAGAACGAATTCCAACTAAGATCAAGAAATTTGAGAGAAGACATGTTTTGAAAACCATTGGGAATCACACTGATTGGAGATGGATCATTATTTAGCCTGCATCCTGACAAGTGTAACTCCACCAAAGAAGGTAGTTTGTGTGTTGCCTGCAGCCAATCAGTTGCTTTAGTAAGATTTGCATCACTCAAATCAAGATACTGCAGAGACGAAAGACCAGAAACCCATTGAAGGGTTTTAGCTTCAAATAGGTAGTTGTGTCCAAGATCAAGATAATGCAATTTTGAGAGATTTCCAAGATTATGGGGAATTACTCTTTGGAAATTTGCTCAGGAGAGGTTAAGATATATCAAACTGTTCATCGAACCAATGAATTCGGGAATCGCCAGGCCTCCAAAGTCGTTGTTGCTTAAGTCTAGGAAACTGAGATGTTTCAACTCGATCAAAGAAGGATTTATTTTGCCTCCTAGCTTTGATCGGAGATAAGCATCCCATTCAGCATCTGACGCACCCTCATAAGGCCTACTAAGCCCCAAGTGCAGCTCGTTGACATGGCCAGTGAAGTTATTACAGAAAACACCAACCCATTCACAGCAATCCTCACCTTCAACCCAAGAAGATAGCCTGTTTGATCGATCCATTAGGTGTTGCTTGAACTTCAAAAGAACTTGCCTCTCACTTTCAATGCAAAGCATATTAGAATTCCCATCACAAAAGCTAATAACGGTTGCTGCGATGACAAGAAGAAATCCAAAAAAGGAAATTGTAACCGCTGTCATGGTTGCATACCGATCATTGCTACCAACACCGAATATATAACGTTAAAAGAAAAATATTTTCTACCACATCAAGTGCTAGGAAGTTTCTTCCAAGACTTTCAATTTTTCAGTTTGAATTTTCGACAAAAGGCATTCATTTCTATGTTTAAAATTCCACTAGTGTAGAAAGAAGAAAAAAGGACAAGTCAAGTAAGCCAACTCTATGGAGCTTAGAATCCTTTTACTTATTATTTTTACTCTAGTTAGTTTCTTTTTTTTTTTGGTTAAATCAAAATTTGCTGTATATGTTTGGTTAAAATTAAGCAAATTGTTGAAAAAATAAAATTACATAAAATTTAAAAAATTTAAGATAATATTTGGTTTCAAAAAATTGAATTATTTTTGTTTTTGTTTTTTTGAAAATAAAAAATATGAGTGAAATGTATTTAATAATTGAAAATGAAAATAAATTTAAAAACAAAAATAAAAATATATTAAAATATGAAAATAAAAAATTTATGTTTTTAATTGTGAAAACAAAATATTTACATTATTTTTTTGTATTTTACAAGTTATTTTATTTGATTTTTTTAATGTTATTAATTAATATTTATATATTATATTTATAATTAGGTGCAACGCGAAATATATAAAGTTAAAAGAAAAAAATTTTCCACCACATCAAATCCTAGGAAGTTTCTTCCAAGACCTTCAATTTTCAAACTTGAATTTTCTACAAAAGGTATTAATATGTATGTTTAAAATTCCACAAAGTGTAGGAAAAAGAACAAAAAGGGACAATCTAGTCAATCAAATGGAGTAAGTCCCACGGCCATGTAATTAAGACTCTTTAAATCTTAGAAAAAGGAAAAAAGAAAAAAGAAAAATTTAGAAAATTTAAAATTACATAAAATTTAGAGAAGTTAAGACTCCTTTTGCATATTATTTTTTGCTTTAGTTTTTTTTTTTTTTGGTTAAATCAAATATTGTTATATATGTTTGATTAAAATTAAGCAAATTGTTGAAAAAGAATATTAATTCAAACATAATTCGTGGTCTTATATAAATATGAAATTATTGTACTTTATGTATGTGATCTATGAAAGGTAAAACTTTAATTTTGTAAATTTCTCATAATTTACACAATTATTTTTTTGTTAATTTTTAATATAACTTTAATCACGGATTATTAGTATGATTTTCATTTAAATCTTAGACATATGAATGATAATGATAAATACATTAAAGAATAATGATAAATTTACGGATATATATATGTTATAATAAAGAGAATACTTTTTTTTGTTAATTCAAATTTGATTTTTATGAAATATATTTCAAAAATAAAACTTTGAATACATTGAACCGATGTGAAAAAAATATATTTTTTAAGATCATGAGAACTGAAAAAAAAGAGAACGATTACTTAACGTGGAGTGCATTAACATTAAACCAATAACCATAAAAAGAGAACGATTCCTATTAATAGTCAAAACATGCTTTCGTTGGGAATTGAAGAAACAAAAAAAGTCAACTCTATCTCATTTCAAAAAATTATAACATGGAATACCTAAATCAAGTAAAGAGCTTACAAATTAAGTTATTCATTACTAAATGCACTATAGTGAGCTTCCAGTACAAATTACATACTATTAAGCATCCGGTACAAATTACATACCAATAGTAGCCCAAAACACGTATAGCTTATCACCAATATGATCCAGTTTTTTATAATAAGCAAACCTGCAAGACCTGATGAAAAACAGGGGAGCCACTACTCCCCAGAACCCCATCGCAAATCCAGCCACCATGCTTACATAAAGCCAATTCACCCTAGACCTGTGCCTTCCTTCACTGCTACCACCATTTCTAACATCAGGTGTTTCGCTATTGCTGCTGCAATTTTTAGTGATTGGAGGTCCGCAAAGAAGATTGCCAATGTAAGAAAAATTGTCAAAGCTTTGGAGCTGGGTGCCTAATGGGATTTTTCCTGTCAAGTTGTTATATGACACGTTGAAGTGATTCACAAAATTCAAATTGGAGAAACTTGAAGGGATTTCACCTTGGAGTCGGTTCATCGACAAGTCAAGAGATTCCAACACCTCCAGATTGCCAATGTTCTCTGGTATCTGTCCTGTTAGGAGATTTCCTGACAAATATAACGACCGCAAAATCCTTGAGATTACCAAGTTCTCTGGGGATCTCTCCTGTGAGACTGTTACCTGAAAGGTCTATGCCGGTAACAAGTCCTAGTGTGGTACTATATTCATCCTCTCTTCCTCTCATCACCAATAATGCACCTAAATAAAACCAGTTGTTAGGGTGGAATTCCAAGACCCATCGATACAAGATTCCGTTGAGGGGTTTTGTGGCCATGGCACTTAGGTTACTAAAACATTTTGGAATAGCTCCTGAAATTTTGTTATAACCAAGATCCAAGAACTGAAGAGAATTAAGAGCACAAATTTGATCAGGAATATAGGCTTGAAATTTATTTGAACGATGGTTTTGAACCACAAGGCTTAAAAGCTTGTCTCCAATCCATGCTGGAATACTACCCGTCAATTGATTTTCACTAAGATCAAGAATAAGCAAATTAGCTAAATGCTGCAATATGGATGGTACTTCTCCAAACAGGTTATTGTTACGAAGGTTTAATGACTCAATACCACCTACAGATCCCAAGGATCCAGGAATTTTCCCAGTTAGATTATCGTTTCCTAAATTTAAGACTTGCAACATTTGGTAATTTTCCCAACAATCTGGAATTTCACCTGACAGAAGATTTGATTCAATGTCAAGAATGGTCAAAGTTTCCAGTTTAGTTGAGAAATTACAAAAAATATTAGAAAGGGATCCTGAAAATAGATTCTCAGACAAAAATAAAAACTCCAAATTTGAAATTGGTCGTGGCAATCGACCTGTGAGTAGGTTGGACCTCAAGTCAACCATCCTACTCTTCGGTAAATATGAAATCTCCCCCACTAGATGGTTATGGAAAAGGTTTAGATATACAAATGATGTTGAAAGGTTCCAAAACCAAGTGGGAATGACACCTGAAATTCCAGCATGGGAGATATCTAACCGCGATATGTTCCTTTGGAACTGTTGCCACTGAGGAAATGCGGACCAAGACGCCAGTTACCTAATCCAATACTTTTCCATTGAAAAGGAGGAATCCAACTTGGGTTTGGTTTAAACGTTAACATGTTGTTAGATGCCAAAAAACTGTCAATCTCAAGAGATTAGAAAAGAACATTTCTGATATATTTCCTTCCAACATATTATTGCTGACGTCTAAATGTTCCAAATTCCAAGTTGTCCTAAACTTTGAGGAAGAGTTGCATTCAATCGATTTTTTGCAACATAAAGAAATTTCAATGATGACAACTTCCCGATTGACAATGGAATGGGACCAGAAATAGAGTTTCGGGAGAGGGAAAGGTATGCCAAATTTTTAAATTGGCCAAGTTGATCAGGTAAATGGCCAGAAAATTTGTTAGATGCAATATTTAATGACTCTAATCGATCCAAACAACATCTAGACAAACTCTCTATGATTTCTGATACCTCTTGATCAATTCCATTACGTGAAACATCAAGATGAGTAAGAGAGCTCAAGTTTCCAATAGCACTTGAAAAATTACCTTTTAGGGCCGACATAAACAAGACCAAGGAATTGAAGTTGGTTTAAATTAGACAACCAGCTGACTGTCGATGATGAAGAGAATGAATTCCAACTAAGATCAAGAAATTTGAGAGAAGACATGTTCTGAAAACCATTGGGAATCACACCTTCAACTGCATTAGAGTTAAGATCAATGGACACAAGACTACGAAGACTGAATATCCATGTAAGTACCGAAGACAACATGTTTGAAGAAAGATCAAGAACGGCAAGAGATGTGTAGTTAACACTGATTGAAGATGGATCATTATTATTTAAAGAGCAATCTGATAAGTGTAACTCCACCAAAGAAGGAAGTTTGTTTGTTGCCTGCAGCCAATCAGTTGCTGTACTAAGATCTACATCGCTCAAATCAAGATACTGCAGAGACGAAAGACCAGAAACCCATTGAAGAGTTTTAGCTTCAAAAACGAAATTGTGTCCAAGATCAAGATAATGTAATTTTGACAGATTTCCAAGATTATGCGGAATTGCTCTGCTGAATTTTTCCAAAGAGAGGTTAAGATATGTCAAACTCTTCATCAAACCAATGAATTCAGGAATTGCCAGGCCTCCAAAGTCGTTGTTGCTTAAGTCTAGGAAACTGAGATGTTTCAACTCGATCAAAGAAGGATTTATTTTGCCTCCTAGCTTTGACCGAAAGTAAGCATCCCGTTCAGCTGACTGAAAGTAAACATCCCGTTCATCATCCAGTTCTATGTCAGGACTACTTGAATGAAGCCCCAAATGCAGCTCTTTGACATGGCCAGTGAAGTTATTGCAGAAAACACCAACCCATTCACAGCAATCCTCACCTTCAACCCAAGAAGATAGCCTGTTTGATCGATCAATTAGGTGTTGCTTGAACTTCAAAAGAGCTTGCCTCTCACTCTCAATGCAAAGCACATTGGAATTCCCATCACAAAAGCTGATAATAGTGGCTGCGATGACAAGAAGAAATCCAAACAAGGAAATTGTAACCGCTCTCATGGTTGCATATCGATCATTGCTACCAACACCGAATATATAAAAAAGAAAAATATTTTCCACCACATCAAGTGCTAGGAACTCTCTTCCAAGACCTCCAATTTAATTAAGTAAAATTGTGTTTGCTTGAATGCAAGATATAGTTGGAAAAGCATCTTTCTTTAAGATCTTACCAAACATGAAGCCGGGGATTTTGAAATTTGCTTTTGTCCTTTTCATTTTTCAAATATTCTTTCTTTTTTTTTTAGGTAAGTGAAATGAATGTAATTTGATAATTTTAGATAAAATTTTAATAATATTTGATACAAGGATATTGTAACCGCGTTCTTGGCTGCATACTGATCGTTGATACTAACAACGAATATATAAAAGTTAAAAGAAAAACATTTTTGACCATATCAAATGTTAGGAAGTTTCTTCTAAGACCTCCAATTATTCAGTTTGAATTTTTCACAAAAAAGAATTCATATGCATGTTTAAAATTCAACAAAGTGTCGAAAGAAAAATAAAAAAAGGGCAAGCCAAGTCAGCCAAATCTATGGAGTAAGTTCCACGGCCAGCTAATTAAGAGTCCTTAGGTTTTAGAAGGGAGAAAAAAATTAAAAAGTTCAGAAAAATAAAAGTACATAAAATTTAAAGTACATAAAATTGGTCCAAGGGTTTTAGGTTACTAAAACATTTTGGAATGGCTCCTGAAATGTTGTTATAACCAAGATCCAAGAAATGAAGAGAATTAAGAGAACAAATTTGATCAGGAATATGGGCTTGGAATTTATTTGAACGAAGGTTTAGAACCACAAGGTTTAAAAGCTTGTCTCCATTCCATGCTGGAATACTTCCCGTCAATTGATTTTCACTAAGATCAAGAATAACCATATAAGCTAAATGTTGCAATGTGGATGGTACTTCTCCAAACAGGTTATTGGTACGAAGTTTTAATGACATAATATTCCGCAAAGATCCCAAGGATCTAGAAATTTTGCCAGTTAGATTGTTGTTTCCTAAATTTAAGACTCCCAACATTGGCTGATTTTCCCAACAATCAGGAATTTCACCTGACAGAAGATTTGATTCAATGTCTAGAAGGTCCAGAGCGTCCAGTTTAGTTGAGGAATTGCAAAGAAAATTAGAAAGGGATCCTGAAAATAGATTCTTAGACAAAAATAAAAACTCCAAATGTGAATTTGCTCGTGGCAATGGACCAGTGAATAGGTTGGACATCAAGTCAACCGTCCTACTCTTCGGTAAATATGAAATCTCCCCAATCAGATGGTTATAGGAAAGGTTTATATGATCAAATTGAGTCGAAAGGTTCCAAAACCAAATGGGAATGACACCTGAAATTTCAGCATGTGAGATATCTAAAACAGACAAATTCTTTTGGAATTGTAGCCACTGAGGAAATTGCGGACCAATATGCCAGCTACGCAGTTTAATACTTTCACAATGAAAAGGAGGAATCCAACTTGGATTTGGTTTAAACGTTAACATGTTGTTAGATGCCCAAAATAATCTCAATCTCTTGAGATTAGAAAAGTGCATTTCTGATATATTTCCTTCCAACATAGTATTGCTAACGTCCAAATGTTCCAAATTCCCAAGTTGTCCTAAACTTTGAGGGAGAGTTGCATTCAATCGATTGTATGCAACATCAAGAAGTTTCAATGATGACAAATTCGCGATTGAGAATGGAATGGGACCAGAAATAGAGTTTCCAGAAAGGGAAAGGTATGCCAAATTTATAAATTGGCCAAGTTGATCAGGTAAACAGCCAGAAAGTTGGTTAGATGCAACATTTAATGATTCTAATCGATCCAAACTACATCTAGGCAAACTCTCTATGATTTCTGATACTTCTTGATCAATTCCATTATTTGACAAATCCATCTCCCTCAGATTGCAAAGACTTTCCAAACATTTGGGTTCTATAATTTCAAGCTGGTTATCTGAAAGATCAAGATGAGTAAGAGAGCTCAAGTTTCTAATGGCAATTGAAAAATTACCTTGCAGGCTGACACCACGAAGACCAAGGAATTGAAGTCGGTTCAAATTAGACAACCAGATGAGTGTCGATGATGAAGAGAATGAATTCCAACTAAGATCAAGAAATTTGAGAGAAGATATGTTTTGAAAACCATTGAGAATCACACCTTCAACTCCATTAGAGCTAAGATCAATGGACACAATACTACGAAGACTGAATATCCATGTAGGTATCGAAGACAACATGTTGAAGAAAGATCAAGAACGGCAAGAGATGTGTAGTTAACACTGATGAAGATGGATCATTATTATTTAAATAGCAATCTGACAAGTGCAACTCCACCAAAGAAGGAAGTTTGTGTGTTGCCTGCAGCCAATCAGTTGCTTTAGTAAGATTTGCATCACTCAAATCAAGATACTGCAGAGATGAAAGACCAGAAACCCACTGAAGAGTTTTAGCTTCAAAAAAGGAATTGTGTCCAAGATCAAGATAATGTAATTTTGAGAGATTTCCAAGATTATGGGGAATTGCTCTGCTGAATTTTACCGAAGAGAGGTTAAGATATGTCAAACTCTTCATCGAACCAATGAATTCAGGAATTGCCAGGCCTCCAAAGTCGTTGTTGCTTAAGTCTAGGAAACTGAGATGTTTCAACTCGATCAAAGAAAGATTTATTTTGCCTCCTAGCTTTGACCGAAAGTAAGCATTCCGTTCAGGTGACTGAAAGTAAACATCCCGTTCATCATCCAGTTCTATGTCAGGACTACTTGAATGAAGCCCCAAATGCAGCTCTTTGACATGGCCAGTGAAATTATTGCAGAAAACACCAACCCATTCACAGCAATCCTCACCTTCAACCCAAGAAGATAGCCTGTTTGATCGATCAATTAGGTGTTGCTTGAACTTCGAAAGAGCTTGCCTCTCACTCTCAATGCAAAGCACATTGGAATTCCCATCACAAAAGCTAATAATGGTGGCTGCGATGACAAGAAGAAATCCAAACAAGGAAATTGTAACCGCTCTCATGGTTGCATATTGATCATTGCTACCAACACCGAATATATATAAAAAAGTATATATTTTCCACCACATCAAGTGCTAGGAACTCTCTTCCAAGACGGCCAATTTAATTAAATAAAATTGTGTTTGCTTGAATGCAAGATTTAGTTGGAAAAGCATCTTTCTTTAAAATCTTACCTAACATGAAACAGGGATTTTGGAATTTGCTTTTGTCCTTTTCATTTTTCAAAGATTCTATTTTTAGGAGAGTGAAATGAATATAACTTGATAATTTTAGATAAAATTTTAATAATATTTGATACAAGGATATTGTAACCGCGTTCTTGGCTGCATACTGATCGTTGATACCAACAACGAATATATAAAACTTAAAAGAAAAACATTCCACCATATCAGATGTTAGGAAGTTTCTTCTAAGACCTCCAATTATTCAGTTTGAATTTTTCACAAAAAAGAATTCATATGTATGTTTAAAATTCAACAAAGTGTAGAAAGAAGAATAAAAAAAGGGCAAGTCAAATCATCCGGGTCTATGGAGTGAATTCCACAATCAACTAATTAAGACTCCTTAGGTTTGAGAAAAGAGAAAAAAGATTGAAAAATTTAGAAAAAATAAAATTAGAGAAGTTAAAATAGTGTTCGTTTCAAAAAAATAAGATTATTTTTATTTTTAAAATTTTTAAAAAATAAAAAATACGAGTGAAAACCTATTTGATAATTGAAAATGAAAATAAATTTTTAAAAAATAAGTTTTTAGAAAAAAATAAAAATAGATTGATTTATGAAAATGAAAATTTTTATTACAAGTTGTATACAAATGTTGATTCTAAAATTATTTTTATAATAAATCCAAAATTTAATTTAATCAATTTAGAAGATTGATATATTTTTAATTAGCAATTATTTGATGATAAGCATAGAGATTCAAAATTAAGTAAATAGATTTAAAATAATGCCATTATGCTTAACATGGAATGCATTAACATTAAACCAATAAAAAAAGAGAACGATTCCTATTAATAGTCAGAACATGCTTTTGTTGGGAACTGAAAAAAAAAAAAAAAAACAGTCTTTAGAATAAGTTGAATGAACCCTGTTTTATAACCAAATTTGACTGCCATTTTTGTGTCTAATGACCATGAATTACCCCCAAAGCCAAAGCCTATAAATTTATTCTTTGGCAAGCACATTGATTAAAAATTTGATAAACTAACCAAGAAAGCCGTGAAATTATTGTCTTTAATTAAGTAAAATTGGGTTTGCTTGAATGCAAGATTTAGTTGGAAAAGCATCTTTCTTTAAGATCTTACCCAACACGAAATGAAAGTGGGGATTTTGAAATTTGCTTTTGTCCTTTCCATTTGTCAAAGATTCTTTTTTTTTTTTGGTAATATAATTTGATAATTTTGGATAAAATTTTAATAATATTTTATAATATCTTGATAATTTTTATATAATTTTGATTTTAAATACCTTTAATATAATTTATAACCAATGTTAGAAGTTTGATAAACATTTATAAAAAATTTTATAGCCTTTAATATAATTTTGGAAATTTTTTATGTTATTATAGTAATTATTGATAAAAGTTTGATAATTTTTTTGAAATTACAAATACAAAAAGAGTTACAATCATAATAACTATTACATATATATATATATATATAAAGGATTAATATTTGATATATTAATCGTTGGTATTTTTATATACTATTAGATTAAATGCCAATAACAATTATACATCATTAATGAATAAATCTAAAAGTAAACATATCCTTAAAAATAAATATAATAAATCACTAAAACCAATAGAAAAAATAATAAATAGGTAAATTTAACGGTAAAATTAAACAAAACTCATGTACGATGATCCTTGAATCTAAAATATCAAAGTTTTAGAACTTTCTCTTTATTACTATCCAAGTCCTCGTTGGCTTAGAATTTACTTTTGAACAACACATCAAAATCATAAATATGACTAGGATGACAAATATTTCAAATGAGAGGATCAATGATTTTGCCCTATTTAAAGCTACCTTTCACCCTATATTGAATAAAACTCGAATAGACATATATAAATGAAATAAATTAAGACATAACTCTATCTCATTTGAATAAATTATAACATGGAATATTACCACCAAATCCGAATATATGGATAAGTAAAGAGCATACAAATCAAGTTATTACATTATCAAACACACCAAAATGAGCTTCCAGTACAAATTACATACGCCCAAAACACGTTTAGCTTATCACCAATATGCTCTAGTTTTTTATAGTAAGCAAGCCTCCAAGACCTGATGAAAAACAGGGGAGCAACTACCCAAAACCCCATCACAAATCCAACCACTATGCTCAGATAAAGCCAATTCACCTCAGACCTGTGCCTTCCTTCACTGCTATCTCCATTTGTAATTTCAGGTGTTTCGCCATTTCTGCCGCAATTTTTTGTGATTGGAGGTCCGCAAAGATGATTGCCAATGTAAGAAAACCTGTCAAAGCTTTGGAGCTGGGTGCCTGATGGAATTTGTCCTGTCAATTTGTTATATGACACGTTGAAGTGATTCAAAAAGTTCAAATTGGAGAAACTTGAAGGGATTTAACCATGGAGTCGGTTCATCGACAAGTCAAGAGATTCCAACTCCAGATTGCCAATGTTTTCTGGTATCTGTCCTGTTAGGAGATTTCCTGATAAATTTAATGACCGCAGCCACTTGAGATTACCAAGTTCTTTGGGGATCTCTCCTGAGAGACTGTTAACTGAAAGATCTATGCCGGTAACAAGTCCTAGTGTGGTACTATATTCATCCTCTCTTCCTCTCATCACCAATAATGCCCTTAAATAAAGCGTTAGGCCAAGGCCGAATTCCAAGGGCCCATCCATGAATCCGCTGGGCCGTTTTGTGGCTATGTCACTTTGGTTACTAAAACATTTTGGAATAGCTCCGGAAATGTTGTTATAACCAAGATCCAAGAAATGAAGAGACTTAAGAGCACAAATTTGATCAGGGATATAGGCTTGAAAGTGATTTGAACGGAGGTTTAGAACCTCAAGATTTGAGAGCTTGTCTCCAATCCATGCTGAAATACTTCCAGTCAATTGATTTTTGCTAAGATCAAGAATACGCATACCAACTAAATGCTGCAATGTGGAAGGTACTTGTCCAAACAGGTTATTGCTATGAAGGTTTAATGACATAATATAACTCAAAGATCCCAAG